CGGCTGATTGGCCAGATTTGTCCATGACAATTCGATACAGAGCTGGCGCACTGCTTAGGCAGAAGGATTGCATCACGTTGCAGCTCCACAGCCGCCACCTCAATCCTACCGTTCCATACGCTAATCTGTAGAGCTGCCGGATCAATATTCTTGACGTAGATACCCAGAAAGGCATCTAAGACAACGTGCACGTAGCGCTGGAGGAACACACAGGTCCAAGGTAGCGCGGAAGACCTTAACCTTTGTCTGTGGCGACTGTAAGGATACTTTTTAACTGTAGGAAATAAGCATACCAGTTTTAAGACGTCAATTAGTATGAACGTTGCATAGATATGAGCAAGTAATATTCGATTCAAGCTTGAAAGTGAATATATTTATAAATAGTGATATAACGATGTGAGGATTCATTTGTACCGGAATATCAGTATCGATGACAATGACGGGAAGGGGTTCGTGCTACATGTGGGCTGCTCGCCGCATGTAAAGCAATATTTTTATTGCTTAACGTGTGGCTAGATTTGATGATAATCTATATAAAATCAATCTGAAGTATATGCACTCTGAAAAAATTGGCAGAGCAAACTAGACACCTTATCACGGTAGAGGCTCTTTCGTTCCTGGTAGGAGTGTAGGAGCCCAACATCCGTGCATTTGTTGACGCACAATCTGCACGACAACCTCTTTGCAGCACATATGTGATGCCTCTGTGAATTTAGTATTGTTTCTATAATTGCACGTAGTTCCTAATTGTTCGACGCTCCTGAGCCGATCAGGAGCTCCCGGGGCTACGGAATGTTAGTATCAAGAACAAACAAAACTGAGCTGTGAGTTTTGCAGCGGGGCTGCCGTAGCTTAGCGCTTGAGGAAGCGTACTTTAGGTCACCGACCTTTCTTTCTTTACAAGAATCAATATGAGTGTAGTGGATCGCAATCCGCTACCTCAGAGTAGTTAGTACCTTAGCCAAGGCTAATAAACTCTTCGGTTTGAATTCAAAACTGATTTTTATTTATTTTTATTTACGGCAAAGTCGCCTAATTTAAGATGATTAGATTTGCCTAAATATATAAAGTAAAATCTAAATACATGCATAACTACTGGCTACCTAGCCACATACCGTATTCTTGTTTGGGTGCAGTCACACCATGCCCATCTCGTGTGACACACACCCCTATTACCAGGGTACGTGTAACCCCGTTACACTCTACCCCATTAAGATTGAGAAGAATTACAGCTCCAATCGATTATTACCTCAACGTCCGCAAGAAACTGCAACTTAATTCATTGGAATAAAACGACTTCCGTGCTCAATGAGGCCTGTGTCAAGTCATCAGGTCTCGCTGGTGCTGACAGCGAGCACGGGCAGAGCCCAACTTCGTCTCCCGCACGCGGTACAATGGTGGACAGTGCGTCCGCGACACCGGGGGATGTACATCCTGGGTTCGATGAGCACGAGCGTCGCGCTTTGCGCACGCTAACAGTGATGAACGACCTCGTTGAGGATGTGAAGGTGGTCGACTACGAGTCTGACACTCCTTGCCCCGCATGGGATGACGAGGAAGGCGAGCTGCGCCAGCGGCGTGATATGAGCCCTGCTCGCGCCTTGCGGGCCCCATGTCCGTTCCCTGACTTCTCGTCAACTATGGGACGTGGTGTAATCACCAATGACCTCGACAGGGAACAGAGGCAGTAGCTTGAAGCTGCCCATAAGGCGGCTTTAAAGCGCGCCCATCCACGGCCGGTCATTGACTCTCGTGTGGAATATGGCTTCCGCCCGGCGGATCCCGCTATGGAAGCGAAGGACGTGGTA